GTTTTAGCTATTATTTCTGCTTGTTTTTGTTTTCATTTCCTTCTTTTCCAACCCCTTCCACACCCCAAAAAAGGGGAAAAAAGAAAAGAAGACTCAGAAAAGAAAAAAGATCAATGATGAGAAATCAAATTGTCTCAACAGGGAAATCCCCAGTCAAAGTCTTCAAATATTATATCATTATTCGATTCGAATAACTCGCCTGATAACAAATTGACTGATAGAGCACGATGCGAAACGAGATTGAACAAGCTCTTTCTGATAGAGATAATTACTCGATATATATCTTTGATAGATAATTGGACTAAAGATAGGGCAGTGCATGATTACAGGACGGGGGAAATGTTTGCAAATGGTGACATTTAGAAGAAAATAATCAGTGCATGAGGAAGGGGAAGAAAGGAGGGGAGAGGGTGGGTGTGGGGGAAGGGAGAGAGAAAGGGGAAGGTTTGGAGAACAGAGGAGGGATAGGTAGGGGGAGACAGGGAGAGGGAGTGGAAGACAGAAGAAGAGTGAAAGTGTGAGTGAGAGTGAGTTGATGAATGAGTGAGAGTGAGTGAGTGAGCGAGTGAGAAGAGAGAGACAGACAGATTTTGATTGAAAACATTTACAGAGCAGACAGCCCTGTAAAAAGCAGAGAGAGAGAGAGAGAGAGAGAAAGGAGAAGAGAGAGAGAGAGAGAGAGAGAGAGAGAGAGAGAGAGAGAGAGAGAGAGAGAGAGAGAGAGAGAGAAGAAGAAGAAAGAAGAAAGAGAAAGTGAAAATAGTGAGAGATAGAGAGGGGAAAGGAAAAAGACAAAGAACTAAAAAAAAGGCACAGTAATATCAGCTAGATCAAGATATTTATAACAATAGCTTCTGAGAATCAGAGGCACCGGGCTGATGAGGCTTATGAAGTATCACGTTTCCAAATGTCACGCGAAAGAAAAAAAAATCCGATGAATAAGAAATGAATGAAAATGAATGGAAATGATGGAATAGTAATGGAATGTAATTCGTAGGAAGGAAAATATTATTGGGATGAAATAAGAATGAATGGAATGTAATTCGTAGGAAGGAAAATATTATTGGGATGCGATGAATAAGAAATGAATGGAAATGGATTAAAAATAGGTTCGATTAATAAGAAATGAACGAAAGTGAATAAAAAAGATGGAATAATAATGGAATGTAACTAGCAGGTAGAAAAATAAAGGGAGACGATGAATAAGAAATAAATTATAATGGATAAAGATAGAAAAAATCCGATTAATGAGAAATGCATGAAAATGAAAGAAAAAAAATCCGATGAAATGGAAATGAATGAAAATGAATAAAAAAGATGGAATGAAACTGGAACGTAAGTAGTAGATTGAAAAATAAAGAGAGGCAATGAATAAGAAATGAATGAAAATGAATAAGAAAAAGATGGGAATAAAAATGTAACGTAAATAAGTAGAAAAAATAGAGGCCATGAATAAGAAAAAAGATGGAATAAAGATGTAACGTAAATAAGTTGAAAAAATAGAGAGGGGCAATGAATAAGAAATGAATGAAAATGAATCAAAAGTTGGAATGAAAATGGAACGTAAATAGTAGTTACGAATTTTTTTTGAGTCAAATGGGACAGAAAATAGAGCTTGAAAGGGAAGCATCTGTGCATAAAAAGCTCATTCAAAAGCATCTTCTAGGAATGAAAAAGACTGGAAATACCTTCATGAAAATACCTTTAAGAGCTTAAGAAGAAGTTTGAGAAACCTGAATAAAACGTACTTTTTATAACCGTTTGTGTTGAGGGGGAAGGGGGGTAGGGGAAGGAGGGAGGGGGGATAGATCAAAGGATTTTTTTTTCTTTTTTCTTTTTGAGGGGGGGGGTTCTTTGGCATTTGTTCTGTACTTTTTCCCCCACGCCTGTCTTTTGTTTTGTTTTTATTTTCTTTTATTACTTTTACTACTTATTTTATAATTTCCTTTTTACCTTTTTTTTTGTTTTCGTCTTCTCTTTCCCCCATTCTTGTTTTCTTTTTTTCTTTCAATTTCTTCATCATTATTTCACACAGTCTTGGCCTCCCGTTCTCCCTTTTTCTTATTTTGTCTCTCTCTCTTATCCTTTCTTTTTCATATTTTCCCTTTCCTTTCCATCCCCCCTCATTCATTTTCCTTCCTCCAAATTTCTCTTAATGATTTCCTACATCCTTTATTTCCCTTTTCCTTCTATTTTTTTCCCCGCAGCCCGCCCTTCCTTTCTCCAGCATTCCCTTCCTTTCCTTTCCTCTTTTTTTTCTCTCATTTCCTTCCTTTCCTTTCCTCCCTTCTCCCCTCAATTCCTTCTTTTCCTCTCCTTTCCTTCCCTCTCCTTCAATTCCTTTCCTTTCCCTCCCATTCCCCCTCATTCCCTTCCTTCTTTTTCCCTCCCTTTCTCCCTCATTTCCTTCCCTCCCTTTCTCTCTCAATTCCTTTCCTTTCTTCCCCTTTCTCCATCAGTTCCTTTCCTTTCTCCTCTCCATTTCTTTCCTTTTCCCTCCTTCTCCCTCATCCCTCCTTCCTTTTCCTCCTGATCGCGTGCCTTGCTGACCTTTAAGGGAGCGTCTCATATAACGGCGGTTGACCTTAGCGGACCGTGGCATTTGCATACAGGGAGGTCAATAGATGCCGCATTCCGAAATTTGTCCTTTATTTGTGGGATTCGCTTTGGTTTGGTTAATATTCTGCGGTGGTTGGTGGGGGGGGAGGGTTGTTTTTGTTTTTGGGAATGGTGGTGGTGGTGATGGTGATGGGTGATGATGATAATGGTGATGGGAAATGATGGTGGTGATGGTGATGGATGATGGTAAGTGTGATGGATGATGATGATAATTGTGATGGATGATGGTGGTGGTGATGATGAAGAGGATGATAATTATGGTGATGGTGATAGTAAGGGTGCTACATTCCGAATTTTGGCTTTTATTTGTGTGATTCACTTTGTTGTTATTGTGGATGGTGAGGAAGATGATGATCGTGATAATGATGATGGATGAAGATAATGATAATAATTGCCAAAAGCTACCGCATTCTGATTTTGTGTGTGTGTGTGTGTGTGTGATTTGCAGTTTTTTAAAGATATTCTGTGGTGGTTGTTAGGTATTTTATTTGTTTGCTGTTCGAAGAGTGAGGTTGTTGTTGTTGTTGTTGTTGTTGTGGATGCGATGATAATTGTACTGAAAATAATGGTAATGATGGTAATTTTGCGAAAGTATTGATTGTCTCGGGTTATTGTTGTTGTTATTCGTGTCTGTCTTCTTCCCCTTCCGTCCGGCTGACTCGAGCTGACTTTCCTCATCGTGGTGACTCGCCTAAACCTTCCAGAGTTTATTTCCCTGATCCCTGCTGACTCTCCAAACTGACTTGATTTGTTCTGACTCTCCTGCCTCTTGCTGACTCACCTGACTCGCACGGACTTACTTGCTTGCTTGAATTGCGGTGACTCGTCTCGTCTTCCTGACTCTCCAAATTCACTTGACTCTTCTGACTCTTCTGATTCACTTGACTCCTGCTGATTCTTCTGACTCTCGATTCGCATTCAATTACTAGACGCGTGCTGACTCTCCTAACCATCCTCATTTACTTGTTTTGTTCGATGCTGACTCTCCCGATGCTCGTGCTGACTTTCCCGACTCACTCACGACGGTGCTGCTGACGGTGCTGACAGCCTGCGGATCCTTGCTGACCGACGGGTGGGTTCATGGCGGGGCGCGACGAGTGAGGGCGAGGGGGGACATCGGAAAGTATAATGAGGGAGTGACGAGTGAGAGATGAGGGCGGGGGTGGGGGTGGGAGCTGGAGTTGGGGAGCGTTAGGGGTGGGAGTTGGAGGTTGGGGGACAGGGAAGGGAGGGTGTGGGGAAGGTGTCCCTCCAATCCCTTTCTCTTTTCTCTTTCCTTCCTTCCTCCTCCCTCCCTTCCCTCCTTTCCTCCTCCACCTCTTCCCTCCTCCTCCTCCTCCCTCCTCCTCCCTCCTTCCCTCCTCCCTCCCCTCCTCCCACCCTCCTCCTCCCCTCCTTCCTTCCACCTCCCCTCCCCCCCTCGCCTGTTTCAGTAGAAGTAGGAGTTTTAATTAGTTCTAGGGAAAACGTGAGAGAGAGAGACAGATAAAGAGATATCAAGAGGAGGTTGTAAACGTGAGTGAAGGAGAGAGAGAGAATGTAAGGAAGAGGGTAAAATATTGAAGGAGAGAAGAGACTGAATTGGAGGGGGAAATTAAGGGAGAAAAGATACTAAGAGAGAGAAGGACAGATTGATAGAGAGAGAGAATGAGAGGCTGAGGGAGAGAAGAAGATAGTGAGAGAGAGAGAGAAGGAGAGATTGAGAGAGAGAAGGAAGTAGTGAGAGAGAGAGAGAGAAAGAGGAGATAGTGAGTGAGAGAGAGAAGGAGATAGTGAGTGAGTGAGAGAAGGAGCAATTGAGGGAGGGAAGGAGAAACCGATGGGGTGACGGAGAAAGCGAGGGAAGGAGGGAGAGATTGGGGAGGAACAAGAGAGACTAAGATAGACAACGACAACAGACAAATCAATAAACACGGGAAAGGGAACAAAGACAGACACATAAGCATACAAACAGACAGACAGACAAATAGAGATATAAACAAACAGAAAGACAGCCATACAGAGATATAGACAAACAAGCAAACAAACAAATACATAGACAGATAGACAGACAAACTAACAAACGACAAACAAAAACAAATACATAAAACAGATAAACAAACAGATAGACAAACAAACAAAATACATAAATAGACAGACAGACAAAAAAAAAATACATAGAATATGAAGACAAACAAACAGGACAAAAGCACACAGAACACACGCAGACAGCTCATCATAAAAGAGCAATAGAGATCATCCCCTAACAGAGCGAGAGAACAACAACTTCCCATGCATAAATAAAAGGCTATTGACTGCCGCTTGCGTACAGAGACTACATAAGTTGGAAAGGAATTAAACAGTCAACACGATGGCTTCGGACGGCGAGAGGAACCGATTAA